AATAGAAACAAATTTATTATATACAATTTATAATATTCTTCACAGTCTCATCTTTGGCAATAAAAGAATCAACAACTGCCTGAAACACCCGTGAAACCGATGCCCACCCCTCTGTTTCACTCCTTCCGGCACCATCACGACTCCCTTCCGACGCCTCTACCCATATGTGTTATCATAAAAAATCTACCACGAGGCACAGCATTGTGCCGGAAGGCTCGAGAAGACTTATCAAACTTAGCAACGAATTCCACCGTCTTACCAACTACTCGCAACTTATCCATCATATTCACCATCCAAACAGCACCAAAACGGCCCATGCAAATAGCGTCTGATATCTTCGATCCCCATTCTGAAAACTTCACAATACCTGAGTCAGTAGCAGACACTACAAACTCCTTCGCCTCAACTGTAAAACGTGAACTACAAATCTTAAGACTCGTAACATACGTCTGTCTCCCATGATTTCGTGCGAACGGTCCCACTGATGATGAAACCAATGGTCTGGAAGCCTCATTGTAGCGTGGAGATTCTATAGGTTTTCCAGCAGAGTCGCGTGGGCCGGGCAGATTGGCTCGTTCACCACGCGCCTATTCCGCCGGCGTCAGAACTGCCTGCACAGTCCGGCGGACAGGCGCGTGTGGCTGGGTAGGGAGGTGGCTGAATCTGAGAATAAAGTAATGGTTGTCCTGTGGGTTGCGGCGCTAGAGTTTCCAGCCGATGTTACTTTAATGTCAGGTATTCATTGATGCCCCTAAAATTCTACATAATTAATCATATGTAACATAAAGTAGACGAGAATTAGCTAAAAAATGGAGGACGCCATAAAATTGGCTTATTGAGTACATTTCTAGTGTTGCAGCATGATAGCGGTTCATTTAATAAGATGAATCTGCATACATTGCTAATACAAAGTTACCTGGTTTTATTTTTTGACCTTTCGAATTCCTCCTATTTATATGAATACTGAAACGTCTAAGAATAATTCACCTGAGTTCTCCAGTTATGCAGATTGTGTTCTCCAAATCCCTTTAAGGGCATGACAACTGTAACTCTTGGCAAATTGACCTGATTAGAATGCTCAAGGGCATTTATATCATGATATAGAAAAGCAAAGGTATTGCCACGTTTCATACTATCCTTCATCTGCCTTATCTCTCTATGCCTGTGCAAGAAATTTTACTAAGTTACAAAATTGAGCTTTTTCAGCAATTACCAAAGGATAAACTGGACCATTAAAGTAAAATCAACGATGTTAAACTCTGGATCATCAAATTATAATACCTGACATAAGCAGCCAAAGCCCATCCAAGGGCAAGAGCTAAGCAAATGAAAAATCCCTGCAGCAATAAAGGTCTCAGGTATACATAAGCAGAAATTACTATGAATAGAAATTAAGAAATCGAAGAATACAAGACATGCAACTCAAGAAGAATACTAACAATTTTCACTCTTCTGGCAATAGAAAAATTTAAAATAATAAATAAAATTTCCTCAGAACCAACACTTTTCCACATATCAAAGTCAACAGTTCTAAATGGGTAATATAAATTAGAGGAAAATCATTAATACTATTATTTATTAGAATGGTTTTTTCATATATGTAATGAATCTATTTACATTTCTAATAATTTTACTGAACACCGGTATAGGACCACATTATTTTCAATAAACTATATAGTAAATATCACACAGTCAAATTAAATATTTGTGGAAATACAGATGACAGTATACTGCATTATTAGATTGCAGTTGTTTAAAATAGGATACACGTGGATTCTGGGACAACTTGATTTTTCCTTCAATTATAATACAACAGTCCCTTTGTAATTCAACAATTATTGGCCAATTATTAACAGGGAAGCCTAATTATGAAACCTCGTCTTAATTCTCAGCATAGTCCCTCTTTTAAATTTCAAATTTCTCTTTTTTTTCTAGGAATCATTTTCTTCATTTTGTTAAACTTTTCAGCTAATGTTCAAATTGCATCTACTAATCCTTGTTTTGGATGCTTTAAGAAATAATATTTTCCTTAATCATGAAGCAAACACAAGAAGCACAACTGAATCTTATATAAATGAACTATTGGATTTCAGCTTATATCAATATTAACATGATTTTTTGTTTATGGGCATAGAATTATCAAATGGACTTTTTTTTTTTGTGAAACTAAGAGTTATGTTGTTTTCTCAAATAATCTTTTGGCTATTCTTTAGCATCGGGAAGATCCTAAATTTAAGTATAAAAGTAGGACAACGTGTACATTCTTTAATTTCCACACTTAAAAACGTGTCATGGGTAACAAAGAAATTTTAGAACTCATTTCATCCTTCCTCTTTACCTTACTTCTGCCTAGGCTAGCTAAGATTTGTAATAACAAAGTGATTCTACGAAATGCACAGGGGTTGCAATCCTAAAAAATATAGAACCAACACCTCAAGTGTATGTGGTTCAAATTAACAAAGTAGCCACTACACATTGACCAACCAAGTAACAGTCACGGATAACTCGGAATTTCTAGAATTTAACCATATCTATCCCAATTTGATGCACGGATAAGCAACAGTTGAGAACCTCAAAGAATCCTGTAAAAAGCCCTCCATCTATCCTTGGCTTGAGATCCTCAAAGAATCTTGTAAAAAGTCCTCCATCTATCCTTGCCTAACACATAAATACATAGATTCTCATATACTTCCTCTTGAACTCCTAGTGATTTTCTTGGCTTGTTGGTAATTCTTACGTCGATTGCTTTTTCAAATTATAGCAAGATTTCACTCTTATAATTATTTATTCATCAAGGAAATACCATGTTGAATGGGTTAAACATACATATGATTCTATGATAGTTACTAAAAATCCTAGAACGATACTTTTCTATTTTACAATCACTAAATCAGGAAGCCAGATTGTAGCTCAGGGTTTGCATTCTTTACTTGAATTGTATCTTTTAGACATCGAAATAAAAATACTTAAAACTAATGCAGAAAAGTTTTAAATCTAAAAACAACCTAGTCAATGCAAAAGAAAACCCCATTCTGCCGAAGCCCCCCAATTTTCAATCCAAAATTTGATCATACATATTCTTATGACTCGTTTATCATACTAAAAATCAATTTAAATGAGTTCATGTATCAGAACTCCTGTCCAATCCAACTGCCACTCTAAATCAAAAAATTTTAACCTGAAACTGATGCAGTGTTTTTCCCGCCCTCTCTCTACTAGTGTCTGCATAGTCATTTGCATTA